ACAATAGGTAATTAGTAGCTTTTGGGGAACCAGAAGTTACACTCAGGTTTTCAACTGCATTCAGGTGGGCACCCTTAACCCCTGCATTGTTTAAGGGCCAACTGTATAGTCTTTTTTTGGATGTTATTTATGTTTCTACAAAATGTAAAATGAGTTTGAAAATAAAAATATGGTGGGGGGAAGAGAGCTGAATTACTACATGTTTCTGTTGGGATTTGGATGTTTTTCAGTTGCAAGTTACAGAAAATATAACTCAACATGGTTTAAAATTTTTTTTGCTCATTTAACTAGTAAGTGCAGAGGGGAATTAGCTTCAGGCACAGTACGCTACACGCTTTGTCTGACTTCATTTCCCTGTGCCTCTCATGTCTGCCCTCCCCAGTGCATAGGCTTCATCTTCAGGATGGCTTTCCTCACAATCCCAAAACAAGAGGAGTGAAGCTACAGGCTTCCTCTTTAATATACTTATTCAATCTAGGGGAGAGGAGCCACTACTGAACAGGAATCCTAGCTTTATTCCAATTGGTTCACTCACATTCGAGAGGCTGCCCATGCATTCCAGGGGTTGGCTTTGTTTTTGAAAAATTATTGTGATAAGACAATAGAATTATACTGATTGGCTGAAATCAATTAAGACAAGAGCGAGGGGAGGGGTAGCTGAATTCCACCCAGAGAGTACATAGGAAGTTGTGTGGCTTAGATGTTGGTAGGAAACCTCAGCGTCCATTGCACTGTGTATGTGCAAAAGTGTGTCATGAAAAGCAGGAATGTGAGTTGGAAGGTAGTTGAGAACATACAATGTGCTTTGGTTACACACCGTAAATACCTACTTTCCCTTCTGAAATCATTGGAAGAAATTCTAGGTGAATTAGAGATAAAAGTATAAATCAACTAGAAGAAAACAGTGGAGAATGTATCTGTGTATGTGTATTTTTTGCTTTTGGTGTGTTATTGGCGTAACAAATACCTTGTTAAATAAAATACAAAAACAAGAGCCACAAAAGACAGATAAATGTACTTCAGATTTTAAAACCTCTGTATGACAAAGACACCTTAAATTAACAGATATGTGACATATAGGAGGAAATATCTGGAATTTATATCAGAGACAAATGGTTAATATCCGGAATGTGACAGAGAAGTTTCTTGTATTTCTTCCTTTCAGTACTAACAATCTTCCCGTGTTAGGTGGACACAGGGCAGCACAGCTAGACTACATGTCCCAGTTCCCCTGGCAACGAGGATGACCATGTGACTAAGTTCTAGCCAATGGAATCTGAGCAGGGAAGGCCACGTGCAAACTTTCAAGTTTCTTTCTTCTTAAAAGGGAACAGCCTTTCATGACCTTCCTACCCCTTTCTCACTGGCTGGAAGGTGGTGTGGTCTTGGGCCAAGGACAACAACCTAGTGCTATAGCTCCAAACTGTGCAGTGTGTGGAGGTGCCACAGCGAACTCATAGAGGTGCTGTGGTATATCTTAAAAATTTGAGGAAACAAAGCAACATGTGTGTCTTATATGAAATGCTAGCTTGAGCCAGTTCACATTTTCAATGTTAGCTGGCTAAGTTCCTGATATCGCATCTTTGCAAAGATGTATTTTGAATTACCGATGTGGAGCAGGAAATGATGATAGGGTTTCCAAACTAATTTTAAAGTTTGATGAGTTGTGCAGTTTTTAAGGTGTTAGAAAAGAAATATTTATGAAGTTGTTTAGAACCAATTACTTAAAGAGATTTTAGATATTTCTTTGGTTTAGGAGCCGTGTGAAAAAATGTCAGTCTCGTAAGAGTGCTGTGAACAGAGAAGGTTTGGGAATTTTTGTCTAGTGGTGCAACAACATGATAGAAAGAATCTGGGTCCTTGTGTGATCTTGTGGATCTCCTGATGCAGAATTGCCTACCACTCCTGGACTGTCCTCCCACCTCTGCACTATTTGCATGTGAAAGAAATTAACTTCTTGCCTCTTCAAGCCATTGGTTTGGGGTGTCCCTGTTACAAGAGCAGAGCAGACACTGTAGGTGCTTGCCTATATCCCCACTGCCCACCCTGGAGGTCACCTGCAGACAGTTTCTGTATGTGCCTGAGGGCATTCCCTGCACCTGGGGCTGATCTGGCCTATGCCACAGGAGGCTAGAAGGACTACGGAATTAACTGCCCCAGTTGTGGTTGGATGAATACCCCAGCTGCTTTGCCTCTCAGTGGAACAATTCTGAGGCGTTTTCTATGGAGACTCTCAGACGATCCTGAGTGGGACTGAGCCCCAGATACCACCTCTACTCATCAATACCTGCTTTCTTAGTTTTACACTCTTCTCTCTTACGTCCCCAATCCCTCAGCATGTTTCCTGGGAATATCTCCAAAAAAGACTGTACTAAATCTTTGTCTTGGGGTTTGCTTTTGCGGGGAACCTAAACTAAGAAAAGCAGCTTAGCCTGTACTGTAACAAATACATAAAATATGTAAGTAAGTACTGGAAAGCAACAAGAAAACAGTAAACAACTCAAATATTTTAAAAATGGGAAAGAATAACTAGGCAATTCACACTAGAGGAAAGACAATTAGCCAGTAAGCACATAAAATGTTCAACAGCTTTAGAAACTGGCTAGTTGTAAGGCAGCACAGCACAGTAATTAAAAACACTAATTCTTGAGCCCAACAGTCTTGCATTCCCTAATATTCTCTAGCTTTATGACCTTAGAAAATTTACTGTTATTTCTCTATGCTTCTGTTTCTTCATCTATAAAAGCGGTATAATAACAGTAGTAATGACCTTTATAAAGTTACTATAAAGATTGGATGATAAATATTTAAAAATTTTTAAGTGCTTAGAACAGTATTTGGAAAGCAGAAACCTGTTTGTTGGGCAAATAAATGCCATTTTACCCATCAGAATGAAATAGTAAAGGAATTGATCTACTAAATATTAGCAAGAGTTTAAAGAGACAGGCTATCTCAGACATTTGTAGCTGAAGAGCAATTTAGTAGTACTATTAAAGTTAAAAATGCCTATTCTTTGGTTCAGAAATTCTACTTCCTGTAGCTGCCCTAGAAAAATACACCTACCCGTGTGTAATGAAGCTTATGCAGGTATATCCATGGCAGCATTATTCATAATAGCAAAAACTGAACTAACCTAAATGTTTAGTAATAGAACAGAGATTATTAGAGGTTGCAAACTGGGGGCCTTTGTGCTACATTTGTCCTGCAGGTGTGTAAGCCTGAACTGTGTTTTAAATCCTCAATTAGTTGGCACCATTAAAAAGATTTATGTAATAAAAGGCCAGACTTTCAAATACTCTTAAAAACATTGGGATTCAAGTTAACAGTCCTTTGGTCTGTGTAAAGAGCTACTCTGGCATAGAACAAAACACACTTGTTCTACTTTGTTACCCTACTGATTTGTTATCTGCATAGTAGGCAGTGGCCTCTGAGACCCTGGCAGAGTTACGGCTCAGTCAAGTAACGAAATGCATATGAAGCAAATACAGTGTAGTGTAAATAATAATAGTGGTGAGGAAAGATCACCAACGTATTGAGGAAAATAAAAAAGATGAATAACCATTATGTATGATGCCATTTCTGTAAACAATGAATTACATATTTGTGTACATACACTAGAATGTAAACTATAAAGCTTAGGGACTTTTTAATTTTATTGCTATGTTCTTCTACCTAAAATAGTGCCTAGCATATATAGGGTATATTTGTTGCAGAAATACGTAGTATGTATAAATGTATGCAAAGTTTCAGAAGATATACACTAAATAAGTGATTTTTATCAAGGACTGGGATTTGGGAGGGGTGGTGGTCAAGGGAGATTTGTTTTTGTTTGTATAGTTTGACTCTTTTACAAGGAGACCATTAATAGTGTATTACTTGTCTAAATTTTTAAAGATCAGAGAAAGACAACCTTGCACAAAATACCACAGGCGAGCAAACCAAAAATCAAAGTTAGTCTAAACTGAAACCATCCAGAGAAAAATGAGTGGGGATAAAAATAAAGTCCTGCATTTATGAGCAAAAAAAGCTAACTCAAAATACTTAACCACGAGCTCAGAATTAATCAGCAGGGTGATGAGTCAGCTGGAGACGCTGATGAAATCCAGCCCTCTGTGTTGAGGTTCCATCCATAACCAGTCTTCTCTGGTAGCATCACATTTCTTGATTTTTGATTTTCGATTCTGTATCCACAAGTTCATGAAGGCATTGAACACAATGCTTCAGAAGGTGCCCCCGCTTGGTAAGTTTTTTAAAAAGGATAAAGAAAAGGAATCAAGAAGCTGGGTTAGACGGCAAAGACAGGGAAAAGAAAAGAGCTTTCAGGCCAGTGTTTGGAGATCAGACATTTTCCTCAAAGGGAGGACAGGCCTGGCTCAGCTACAGACAGGTTTTTAGATGCACCAAGAATAGACTGGTCTCAGCAGACTCAGAAGCTTTCAGAGCAAAGGAACACCCCACAGGGGCCTTCTCAATGCTATATTTGGAAGCAGCTTTTCTCACCCCAAGTTCAACTATCATTAAACAGCCTTCCTTCTTATCCTCCAGGTTTGTAGCCAAGTAATTGTCACTGTTCCCAGGGGCAGTAAGTTCTGAGCTGTTCTGAGACAGCAGAAGCAGACACTGAAACGATTCGGACAGATCCCAACGGCGTGGTTGGCAGCAAGCGAAGCAAACTGTCCAACACGAAGACACAGTGGATGAGTCCCTATGTGCCTTGTCCTGAAAGCCGGACCCCCCACTGGGCTATACTCAGACCGCCGGGCGGCTCTGTCCGCTTCACAAACCGGCGTTATCGCCCGCACCAGACCTAGGACGGTTGTTTTGTAAGATTTCTGGCAATAGAGCTCTATAAGGTTAGACCTCCGGGCAGTCACACTCAACCAAGACCGGCGGCGCCGAAGGGCACAACACACGAAGCCCTGAACGCGCAGGATGAGCAAAAGAAGTCCGACATGCGGGAACTCCCGCACCTACTTCCGGCGGAAGTCGACCTGCCCCCGCCCCCGGGCCGCGCGCTGTCGTTATGGGTCCGCCGGAAACCTGGAGGCGCGCCCTGAAGTCGCAGACGCGGTGCGGCTGGTGGGTCCCGGCGGTAAGGCTTCCGCTGCGGACCTCTTCGACATCCCGGCTGCTCGTGTGTGCCTGTCTGACACGCTTCTCCCTCTTGTGTGTGTGGCCGCAGCCCCACCTCCGCCCCTCCTGGGGTCCTAGCACCCCCAGTGTTCTTTCTGAACTTTCAGCACCCCGCCCCTCTCCCCGGCTTCCGGTCCCTGAGGAAAGCTCCGGCCCCGCCCACCCGCCGAGACCCTTGGATAGAGTAGCCTTGGGAGACCATTCTGTCGGGTCCCCAGCGTGGACACCTCAGGGATAGGGGTACATACCGGGATCTAAGGCTCCCGTCTTATTTCTTCCCAGTTAGCTTTTTTCTCCCCAAGCCTTATAATACCGTTCACCCTGCGGGGGTCTCAACATCCCCCGACTTCCAAATTCCTTTCCTCAGTGTATTCCACCCGTGACTCCTACCGAGTTTTAACGTGAGTGTTGAATTGGTTGATGTCTCTGCAGCCAAATCCGACCTCCTGGAGAAACCATGTCTCAGCACCTTTGGGTGCCACCTATTGTGCCAGGCGCTTGCCACTGCACGAGAGGATATGCCGTTTGAATTCTCGGTGAAGGTTGGGAGGAGGAATGCCAGAACTGCCGGCTGAAAGTTATCCATACGAGAAACATGTAGGCTGGGGACCCTGAATCACGTAGTGAGAATTGCTGCTCTTTGTTTCCTCTGTCTTACCTTGGAAGTTCGGCCGGTATCTTGACCGCCGAGGCCAACAGAAATCACTTCACGTAGGCATGTTTGTTGACTAGTCCCCACCCCATGGGTGATCCCTGATTGTGGTCACTGCCTGGATGGATGCTTCTTAAGACACGATGTTGATCGGAGTAAGCCCCTGACTGCCTCTAGGCGATGCTTGTTCGCATTGTCAGCAGATCCTTTTGAGTACATTTTGTAGGAATAACTCTGTGAATGTTAATATTTAGGGAACTAAAAGGATGATTGTTGCTTGGGGGAGGGAAGGTGGATGCATTTTGCATATTCTTCCCCACTTCAGTTTGGAATTTGCTGATTTTGCTGGTCAGAGATGCTTCAAAGTAGACCACAGTAGTTTGATTAGGAAACTCTTGAAGGAGAGCACAGGAACACCTGGGAGGCTCCACTGAGAGGCAGTATGTGCCCGAGGGCCAACAGATTCTGTTTTGGGAACCATTTAGGGAGTTGATGTCCGAGAAAGAACGTTTGTGGTGGAATATATCCCTTAGCGGTAGTCACACTCTTTCTGTTCTTTTGTAGCCCCGGGATGGACTTTCTGGTTCTCTTCTTGTTCTACCTGGCTTTGGTGCTGGTTGGTGTTGTAATGATCTGCATCTGCTGGAAAACCCAGTACTTGAATGGCCTGGGTTCGGGAGGAGCACAGGTAACAGTGATGCCTGGAGACCACTGGATTCTGGAGACCACCAGTCTTAAAAGCTCACCAGCTTCCTGACAGAACAAAAAAGAGATGCCATTTTACTCATTTGTTCACTTGTTCTTTCACTTATGGCAGTTTCGGTAGATTTGAAAGTCTCTTACTGTTTTTTGTTTTTTGTTATTGTTGAAAGTAATCTTGTGATGACGCTTTGAGAGATGATAGCTCTTCTCAAGGTTGGGTATTTTTCTCTGGATTTGTTATCTGTAATTGGTCATGATTGGCGTGGAGGGACATGAAGGGTGAAACTGGGAGATGTAGGAGCAGAAAGCTGAGCATCAGGCTACCTACACTTTTTCAGGGGTCAAAAGGGAACAAAATTAGGGTGAGCAGCCACTGGGAAGGAGATGACTTCAGAGGGACCTGGGCTAATGCCCAGTAATCTGGAGGTGGACTCTGGAACCTAGGATTGAATCCAAAGCAGGGGAAGGAATAGTGGTCACATTAGCATTACTTCTGTTCCCTTCTCTGAAGATCCTGACATGGTGCCTGAAAGGGTATCTCTCTGCGACCCTCCTTACCTAGAAAGACTCAGGAGACACAGGCCCACGCAAGAGACTTTATTATCTGAAAGAGAGAGTGGCTACCCCAGAGGGAGGTGGGGGGAGAGAGAGAGGGAGGCGGAGAGGGAGAGAGAGCAGGGAGAGCAGGGGGACAGAAAGACAGAGACAAAGAGAGACGGCAGCAGCGTGGTGCAGAGCGTTGTGCCTCTTATTGTGGTGGCCCCGCTGGACCTGTTGCCTTGGGGGAGGGTCGGGATGTTTAGAGATAAGGTGGGGCAAGCCCCTGCATAATTCTCACCGGTTTATGTGCTTGGGACCATGGGGCAAATGGAGGATGAATTACTATTTTCTTACAGTGCCTTCTTTGGGGTCAGGGTGGAAATGGGGGAGTTGACATCAGAGAAATGCCAGCTAAGGGAAGCCCTCCTCTTTCTCTTAAATCTCTTCTCTGCTTGTATGTAGAAATACAACCTAATATTATTGAGGGTTGAGTTTGTTCTCCTTAGTTCTTGTCCCACTGCAACAAATAATTGAAAGGCAGAGACACAGTAGCAAAGCAGAGTGAAAGTGTTCTTTGAATACACTCCAGAAGAGGAGTGAGCCAGAGTCAAGGTAGACAAAGGCAGGCTGCTTACCGGGAGACTTCTTTTGGGGTTTTTGGCAGGACAGGAACGTCCTTGGTTGACAATCTTTGACCTTGGAGGCCTGGTCCAACTGGTAAAAAGATGGGCTGCTCTGATGATTTCTGTGCCTGTCTTTGGATGTTTATTTACAGGATGAGCAAAAGAAGTCCGACATGCGGGAACTCCCGCACCTACTTCCGGCGGAAGTCGACCTGCCCCCGCCCCCGGGCCGCGCGCTGTCGTTATGGGTCCGCCGGAAACCTGGAGGCGCGCCCTGAAGTCGCAGACGCGGTGCGGCTGGTGGGTCCCGGCGGTAAGGCTTCCGCTGCGGACCTCTTCGACATCCCGGCTGCTCGTGTGTGCCTGTCTGACACGCTTCTCCCTCTTGTGTGTGTGGCCGCAGCCCCACCTCCGCCCCTCCTGGGGTCCTAGCACCCCCAGTGTTCTTTCTGAACTTTCTGCACCCCGCCCCTCTCCCCGGCTTCCGGTCCCTGAGGAAAGCTCCGGCCCCGCCCACCCGCCGAGACCCTTGGATAGAGTAGCCTTGGGAGACCATTCTGTCGGGTCCCCAGCGTGGACACCTCAGGGATAGGGGTACATACCGGGATCTAAGGCTCCCGTCTTATTTCTTCCCAGTTAGCTTTTTTCTCCCCAAGCCTTATAATACCGTTCACCCTGCGGGGGTCTCAACATCCCCCGACTTCCAAATTCCTTTCCTCAGTGTATTCCACCCGTGACTCCTACCGAGTTTTAACGTGAGTGTTGAATTGGTTGATGTCTCTGCAGCCAAATCCGACCTCCTGGAGAAACCATGTCTCAGCACCTTTGGGTGCCACCTATTGTGCCAGGCGCTTGCCACTGCACGAGAGGATATGCCGTTTGAATTCTCGGTGAAGGTTGGGAGGAGGAATGCCAGAACTGCCGGCTGAAAGTTATCCATACGAGAAACATGTAGGCTGGGGACCCTGAATCACGTAGTGAGAATTGCTGCTCTTTGTTTCCTCTGTCTTACCTTGGAAGTTCGGCCGGTATCTTGACCGCCGAGGCCAACAGAAATCACTTCACGTAGGCATGTTTGTTGACTAGTCCCCACCCCATGGGTGATCCCTGATTGTGGTCACTGCCTGGATGGATGCTTCTTAAGACACGATGTTGATCGGAGTAAGCCCCTGACTGCCTCTAGGCGATGCTTGTTCGCATTGTCAGCAGATCCTTTTGAGTACATTTTGTAGGAATAACTCTGTGAATGTTAATATTTAGGGAACTAAAAGGATGATTGTTGCTTGGGGGAGGGAAGGTGGATGCATTTTGCATATTCTTCCCCACTTCAGTTTGGAATTTGCTGATTTTGCTGGTCAGAGATGCTTCAAAGTAGACCACAGTAGTTTGATTAGGAAACTCTTGAAGGAGAGCACAGGAACACCTGGGAGGCTCCACTGAGAGGCAGTATGTGCCCGAGGGCCAACAGATTCTGTTTTGGGAACCATTTAGGGAGTTGATGTCCGAGAAAGAACGTTTGTGGTGGAATATATCCCTTAGCGGTAGTCACACTCTTTCTGTTCTTTTGTAGCCCCGGGATGGACTTTCTGGTTCTCTTCTTGTTCTACCTGGCTTTGGTGCTGGTTGGTGTTGTAATGATCTGCATCTGCTGGAAAACCCAGTACTTGAATGGCCTGGGTTCGGGAGGAGCACAGGTAACAGTGATGCCTGGAGACCACTGGATTCTGGAGACCACCAGTCTTAAAAGCTCACCAGCTTCCTGACAGAACAAAAAAGAGATGCCATTTTACTCATTTGTTCACTTGTTCTTTCACTTATGGCAGTTTCGGTAGATTTGAAAGTCTCTTACTGTTTTTTGTTTTTTGTTATTGTTGAAAGTAATCTTGTGATGACGCTTTGAGAGATGATAGCTCTTCTCAAGGTTGGGTATTTTTCTCTGGATTTGTTATCTGTAATTGGTCATGATTGGCGTGGAGGGACATGAAGGGTGAAACTGGGAGATGTAGGAGCAGAAAGCTGAGCATCAGGCTACCTACACTTTTTCAGGGGTCAAAAGGGAACAAAATTAGGGTGAGCAGCCACTGGGAAGGAGATGACTTCAGAGGGACCTGGGCTAATGCCCAGTAATCTGGAGGTGGACTCTGGAACCTAGGATTGAATCCAAAGCAGGGGAAGGAATAGTGGTCACATTAGCATTACTTCTGTTCCCTTCTCTGAAGATCCTGACATGGTGCCTGAAAGGGTATCTCTCTGCGACCCTCCTTACCTAGAAAGACTCAGGAGACACAGGCCCACGCAAGAGACTTTATTATCTGAAAGAGAGAGTGGCTACCCCAGAGGGAGGTGGGGGGAGAGAGAGAGGGAGGCGGAGAGGGAGAGAGAGCAGGGAGAGCAGGGGGACAGAAAGACAGAGACAAAGAGAGACGGCAGCAGCGTGGTGCAGAGCGTTGTGCCTCTTATTGTGGTGGCCCCGCTGGACCTGTTGCCTTGGGGGAGGGTCGGGATGTTTAGAGATAAGGTGGGGCAAGCCCCTGCATAATTCTCACCGGTTTATGTGCTTGGGACCATGGGGCAAATGGAGGATGAATTACTATTTTCTTACAGTGCCTTCTTTGGGGTCAGGGTGGAAATGGGGGAGTTGACATCAGAGAAATGCCAGCTAAGGGAAGCCCTCCTCTTTCTCTTAAATCTCTTCTCTGCTTGTATGCAGAAATACAACCTAATATTATTGAGGGTTGAGTTTGTTCTCCTTAGTTCTTGTCCCACTGCAACAAATAATTGAAAGGCAGAGACACAGTAGCAAAGCAGAGTGAAAGTGTTCTTTGAATACACTCCAGAAGAGGAGTGAGCCAGAGTCAAGGTAGACAAAGGCAGGCTGCTTACCGGGAGACTTCTTTTGGGGTTTTTGGCAGGACAGGAACGTCCTTGGTTGACAATCTTTGACCTTGGAGGCCTGGTCCAACTGGTAAAAAGATGGGCTGCTCTGATGATTTCTGTGCCTGTCTTTGGATGTTTATTTTCTCTTATCTGGGGAGAATCTGTGCTTGGAAACTTCTCTTTTGGGTAAGTGGTTTTTCCATGTCTGGAAAGTGTATGGACATTCCAAGTAAATCCTAGTCCTTGAAACTTCAACCAATTAACTCTGTGAGTCTTTTCTGGCTCTCTGGTTTTACCTGGTTGACTCTTTGAGTCCCTTTTAGTGGGCTTTACTGGCTTGATTCTCCCTCCACCCACTTATGTCTACCTTCCTGCCTAACAACATCACCAAAATGCCAGCGAAAAGTGAAGCATCTAATTTGGAGTAGGGGGAGTGAGAAATGGAATTGGATCTTTCTTTTTTCTTTTCAGATATTTTCCTATGTAATTCCAGAATGCCTTCAGAGAGCCATGCTAAGATTGCTTCATTACCTCTTTCATACACGGTATTTATATTTGAGTTTAAATATTTTATTTTTCTGTTTTGATTATTAATTGTGGCTAGCCTCTAGCTTCAGGAAGCTCCTTGTTGGTTTCCAGGATGGCTAGGGGAAGGATGCTGGAAAGGACCAAGAATGCAGGGTTCTGAATCTTTATTCATAGATAATCTACCTTTTTATCTCTGGGGTTTTGACATGTCTCCTCTTAAATAGAGATATTGAATATTGGGAAAATACTGGCATGCATGTCTACAGAAATATATATATGTCGACAGAAATATATTCTGATACTCAATTGAAATATATTAACTCCCAACAAAGATGATGATAATAGCTAACCCTTACTGAGTACTTACTGTGTGCCTGGCACTATTCAAAATGTTTCTCATAGTTTCTTATGTAATTCTTACTCTTATCTCAAATCCAAAGGAAGCAGTTGGCCCTTTGTTAACCTTCCTTAGTCTTGCATGATTCCTTCATGGAGAAGTCCCTGTGACCAAGCCATGTGCCTCTTTCCTTTCAGAAACTACACCTTCATTATCCTTCATCTTGTCTTGCAAGGGATGATTTATATTGAATATACCTGGGAAATACTTGGCTACTGTCAAGAGCTGGAGGTCTCCGTGTATTACCTCCTTCAGCCCTACCTGCTGTTGATCGTAAACCTGGTGTTTTTCACCCTAAGCTGTGTAAGCAACCCTGGTAAGTTGTGGCTTTCAGCGTAGACTGGTGACAGGTCACCTTTCAGCCTTACTGATAGTGCTACAAACAATTAGTGATCCTCTATGGACTTTGCAAAAAAGACTTGATATGTAGTATTTTCATGATCTTTCAGTTATGAGTGTTTTCTAATTTAATTTTTTTCTTCTTCGACCCATGAGTTATTTAGAACTGTTTAAAATTTTGCATATATTTTTTTTAGTTCTTTTTTTTTTTTTACTTAATTGGGTTATATATAGAACTTATGGTCTTTATAATGCTGTTTTTTAAAAAAATTTTATTCATATTTACATTATGCCCAGGCATGTGGCCAGTTTTGATAAATAATCCAAGTGTGCTTGAAAAGAGTATGCATTTTCTAGTTGTGGAGTACAGACAACCATATAAGTCCATTAGATCAAGCTTGTTAATTATATTCAGATTTTTTTATATTCATACTAATTTTTTAGTTTGGTCAGTTACTGAGAGAGGTATGTTATCTCATTCTAATGGTAGATTTGACAGATTCTCCTTGCAATTAGATTTTGCTTAATGTATATTGAAACTATTATATATGTGTATATGTGTGTGTATATATTACACAATAGTTATATATATTTGTATTAGATGCATTCAAGTTTCAAGTTAGTATCTCTTCCTTGAAACTTTTTTCAAAAATATAATGAGACTCTTTGTTACTAGGAATACTCTTTACTCTCAAGTCTCTTTTGTCTGATATTAGTAGTACATGCTTCTTTCTTTTGATTGATTGGTATTTGCTTGGCATTTTTTTCCCCATTCTTTTACTTTTAACCTTTCCCATCCTTGAAGCACCAAATGTCCATCACCTGATGAACAGGTAAGTAAAATGTGATGGACACGTTCACTGGCTATTACTCAGCAATAAGAAGGAGTGGAGTGTACTTACACATGCTACAATGTGGATGAACCTTGAAAACATTATGCTAAGTGAAAGAAGACCAGATACAAAAGGTCACATAGTGTATGATTCCATTTATATGAAGTATCCAAAGACGGCCAATTCCTAGAGACATTCAGTAGATTAGTAGTTGCCAGGGGCTGTGGGATTAGAATGTGGATTGACTGCTAAAGGATTTTTTTGGGGGGCTGATGAAAATGTTCTAAAACTGATTGTGGTGATGGCTCTACAACTATGAATATGCTAAAAATCACTGAACTAAATACTTCACATGGGTGAATTGGGTTTACGAATTATTTCTCAATAAAGCTGTTAATTTAAAAATTAATTATTTAAAATAGTGAATATAGCAGCTTTGGTGCTTTGTTGGAACAGATTTTGTGAATATCCAATCCACTAAATATTACTTGAAACTGACATTTCTCCTTTTTTCAGGTACCATAACAAAAGAAAATGAATCATTGTTTCTTCAAATTTATGAATTCGATGAAGTGATGTTCCCAAAGGACACAAGGTGCTCTACTTGTGACTTAAGGAAACCAGCTCGGTCCAAACACTGCAGTAAGTCTGGCTCTGGCTGCTCCGGCCCCACCCTGCACAATGGACAAGTGCACTCTATCTGTAAAGGAAAGTTATGTAACTCTAAAAGCAGGGACCCCGGATGGGGAGTGCCATTGCTGGTAGAGGCCAGGTAGTGGTTTCTTTCAGATGACCAGAGGTGTGTTCCTACATAGTAGGCATCCCTCAGCCCTGAGCGTATAGTCCATCCTTTACCATGTGGCAGGATACGCTGAGCAAGAGAAGTTTCTGTGGGATGTCATGTTTGCAGATTTCAGTCCTGGCAGTCTGCTCTTCTGGGGAGTGGCCAGGATGCTAGACTCATGCTGTCCAACAGAAATATAATGTGACCCACATATGTGATTTTAAATTTTCTAGTAGTCACATTACAAAAATAAAAAGAATTAGGGAAAATTAATTTTAATCGTGTGTTTTATTTAACCTGACATATCTAAAGTGCAATTTTAACATGAAGTCAACATAAAAAAAATCATTCATGGGATAGTTTGTGTTCTCTGTATTAGCTTTTTGAAATCTGATGTGTATATTTATAGCACAACTCAAAGGAGACACCAAATTTTCATGGGAAATGCTTGATCTGTATTTAGAGTCCATAAAATTTATAGTTGGAAGAGCAAATTCACATACCCAGGCTATTCTAGACATTCTTAAAAGTTTGTCGATAACTGAATCCGTACTAAAATATCATTTTCCTTTAATATCCATGACTACATTGACATAACGGTTTATCTTTATCAGAAGAATTGATTTGACATTAAAAGCATCAATTTCCAAAATATGTCCAACTTAAGTATATTGACTGACTCTATTCATACTGAATGCAAAGAAAGGAGCATGCAGAAATTGAAAAACTGTAAATTTATCAGTATCAACAAAGTATTCTTTCAGGTTTTTCTCATAGTCACCTTTCAAGTGCTCAGTGCCCACACCTGGCTAGTGGCTACTGTATTGGACACTGCAGTTCTGAAAGCTTGGTGATAGCAGCTGCCATTTCCTCCAGCTTATACTGCCAGTGGTCAGTTTGTAAAAAATCTCAGGAGGTGTGCATTGTGTTATTGTCTCATCAAGGATCAATCTGGGGCTGTGGCGCCCATTTTTGTGCAGGTGTGTGCAATCGATGCGTGCACCGTTTTGACCACCACTGTGTTTGGGTGAGCAACTGCATTGGGGCTTGGAACGCCAGGTACTTCCTCATCTACCTCTTGACGTTGACAGCCTCAACTGTCACAATGGCCATTGTGAGCACTGTGTTTCTGGTCCAGTTGGTGGTGTCGTCGGACTTATACCTGGAGACATACATGGATGACCTTGGACACTTACGAGTTAATGACATCATTTTTCTTATCCAGGTAATTATGTTGTGGGCTGTTTATTTATGACTTTAGGTTTCAGAATTGGAAAAAGCACATGTGTTTTCCCAGTCAAAACATGAAGCCATTCCTTATAAGAAAAATTGATATGTAAGTTTTAAAAATAGATAAATAATTCACACACCATAAAATTCACTGTTTTAAAATTTACCATTCAGTGGTTTTCATATAATCATAGTTGTATAGCCATCACCACTATCTAATTTCAGAACATTCACCACCCCAAATAGAAACTTTACTATTACCAGTCAGTCCCCATTCCCTTCTTCTTTAGACCCTGACAACCACTAATCTACTTTCTGTGGAACATTTTGCTTAAATGGAATCATATAATATGTGGCCTTTTGGACTGGCTTACTTAGCTTAATGTTTTCAAGGTTTATCCATGTTGCAGCAAGCATCAGTGCTGCTTCCCTTTAATGCCTGAGTAATATTCCTATTGTATGGATGCACCACCCCATTCATCAGCTGTGAATATCCAGCCCCTGGGGTACATTGGGTGTTCCCAATTTTTGGTTATTTTTGAATAATGCTGCTAAACATTTGTGTACAAGTTTTTGTGTGGAAATAGTTCTTCATTTCTCTTGGATTATTCCTAGAAGTAGAATTTCTGGGTCATATGGTAGCTATTTGAAATCATTTGAGGAACTGCCAAACTGCTTTCCAAAGCACCTGCACCATTTTACTTTGCCACCATCAATGTAGGGAATTTCTAATTTCTCCACATCCTTGATGACATGTTATTATTTGTCTTTTTAATTATAATCATTTGTCTTTAATTGTAATCATCCTAATGGGTATGAAGTGATACCTTATTGTGTTTGATTTCCATTGCCATAACTAATGATGTTGAGCATCTTCTCATGTGATTGTTGGCTATTTGTATACCTTCTTTGGAGAAGATGATTTAGAGAAGTTCATTTTCTCATTGGGTCGTCTTTTTTTCTTGTGTTGTAAGAGTTCTTTTTGTATTCTGTACACTTGACCCATATCAAATATATCATTTGCAAATATTTCATCCCATTCTGTGAGTTGTCTTTATTTTCTGATAGTTTTTGTTGAAATACAAAATTTTTTTAATTTTGGTGATCAGTTTATTTATTTTTCTTTTGTTGCTTGTGCTTTGGTGTCATATCTAAGAAACCATTGCCTAATTCAAGGTCATGAAGATTTATGGTTACATATTCCAAGTGTTTTATAGTTTAGCTCTTATACTTAAGTCTTTGACAGTTTTGAGTTAATGTTTATTTTTGGTGTTAGGTAAAGTTCCAGTTTTAATTACTATGTGGATATCCAGTTGTTCCAGCACCATCTGTTGAGAAGACTGTTCTTTGCTTATTGAATTGTTTTGGCACTCTTGTCAAAAATTAATTTGCCATAATGTAAGGATTGAAGCCATTCTTTTAAAAATTTGATTGTTAAGATTTCTACTCCATTTATGGAAAATAGATTATTTTTGAGGGGGAAGAGGGTCTGCTAAAATCAGTGCTACAGTGAAAACCCTTGTATGTGTGTTTCTGTGGTCGTATTGTTTTAAGATAGAGGTTAATCTTTTATCCATCTAGACATTATTTTGATGCAAGAACTAAGACCTACATGTGTTTCTTGGTTTACTTTATAAATAAATAACTGGCATAGCACTACCTCCTGAGGACCTTTTTCCTTCAATATACACACTTGATTTATACTATATTAATCTCTTGAATTTACTGGTATTTCTTCCTGGCTATCTGTCAGTGCTGTTTATGGTTCTGATTTGTGTTGAGTGTGTCAGATGTGTATGGAAGTGGGTGACCCAGGAATACAGCCCTGATGTATTTTATGGACAGGAGCGGGGCTGGTGGGTGCTGACCCTTGTGTCACAGCCTAGCTGCCTAATGTGCTGTTTGTTCTTTGCTCCCAGTACCTGTTCCTGACTTTCCCAAGGATTGTCTCCATGCTGGGCTTTGTTGTGGTGCTGAGCATCCTTCTGGGAGGCTACCTGTGCTTTGCTCTGTACCTGGCCGCCACCAACCAAACCACTAATGAGTGGTACAGAGGTGACCGGGCCTGGTGCCAGCACTGCCCCAACGTTGCAAAGCCCTGGATCTACCGGAACATCCACTCCCACGGGTTTTGGAGCAACCTTCGAGAGATCTTTGTACCTGCTGCTGCACAAGATGAGAGAAAGAAGAAATAACAATGGAAAGTGTTACTGCCTTTTAAATACAGATGTATGGATACTTACTTTCTGAGAATTGGCTTGATTTTTTCACCCGGTTTCTGCTATGTGTTTTTAATGGGCTTTGAGTGGTAAGGGAAGGGAAGACTGTGTTTACCGAGTGCCTACTCTGGAGATCCTCAGCTGGAAATCCCCCTTGCTCATCCTCTGGTGAACAGACCATCTCTGAAGTCCTGGTGCCAAAGGATCAAAGGTGACTTCTCAGAGGTTCCAACTGACTTTGGTCTTCCACTCTGGACTTGATGCTTCTAGACAGGAGAGTCTGTCTCCTGATGTCCAGGAGGGTCTCAGGCTTTGGCTTTTTTTTTTTCATCTTAACCACACCCATCATTCCTCACCCAGGCCAGGGTGGGTCTTTTATACAAGGGACACTCATCTACTTGTAGCCTCCTGTATGCCCTCCACTGGCCTCTTGACTAGCCTCCCAGTTAATTAGGTGCAGGGAGATGGATGCGGGAAAAGAGACTCATGGAAAGAGCTCAAGGTTTTTAGGATGCAAGAGTTTCCAGGAGCAGGATACCTAAGATTCCTCCCAGGCTAGGCTAGCCAGGCCACTCTGGAGGCGACTGGGGTGTTGGGATGATGGGGACACGGACTGGGAGTCAGGAGCCAGGAGCCGGAGGCATCTTTTGTCATTGCATCCCTAAGATGAATTGCTGTTTCTTGAGTCCTGCGCTTCCTGGTGAGAAAGCACGTGTGGGCTTTGAACCACGCGCAAGGAAGCAGGGGGCTGTCGGCACGTCCCACACGGCGAAGCGGGAAGCGCAAAAAACGAGGTGGGCGTAGCACCTCGCGGGCCCCAGGTCGGAAGGCCGGGGCTCGGCCCCGAAGCGGGGCCGGGGGTGGGTGGGGCCTGCCGGCACCCTTTCGGCAGTGAGCCGAGCCGCCAGGTGGCGCCCTCCCGTAAGCGAGCCTCGCCGCGGCCTGCGCTTGGGCCCTGCGGGACGCCGTTGTCGCTCTCGCGTTCTTCCTCCGCCGGGCTCCGTGGCGTCGGGCTCCCGCCGCTCTCGGGGGCGCCGCCGTCGCACAGCTGGGGCGCCCGCCGTCCAGCAGCGATGGCCCCCTGAGCGGGCCCGAGCGCATAGCAGTGGGAGGGCGCCGCGGGCGGGCCCGGGGTCGGCGGGTGGAGGCCGGGCCGCGGCCTCTTTGTCTCCAGGGCGGCGGGCGCGTCCGCGGGGCTCGGGCGGAAGTCCCAACGCGCTCCCGGCGCGCCGGACAGAGCGGCCGCACCATGAGCGACATCCGCCACTCGCTGCTGCGCCGGGACGCGCTAAGCGCCGCCAAGGAAGTGCTGTACCACCTGGACATCTACTTCAGCAGCCAACTGCAGAGCGCACCACTGCCCATCGTGGACAAGGGCCCCGTGGAGCTGCTCGAGGAGTTCGTGTTCCAGGTGCCCAAGGAGCGCGGCACGCAGCCCAAGGTGCGGCGGGCGCACCCGGCCCGACTCGAAAACCGCTGCCCCTGCTCCCCGGTCTGGAGACGCGACCCCAAACCGCAAACGCCCTTCCTGCCTCCGTTTGCGCCCTTGGCCTTCTCCTTTAGCAGCCCAGTTGCACCTCCTCTGGCGTCCCCAGCACTGCTCCAGCTGTTTCGTGGGGTGTGTAACAACCACGTCTCAATGGTGTAAAAGGAGGAGACTTAAAGGCCTGTTGTCGAGAGTCTCAAAACGCTGTAGGTCATACTGAGTTCCCCAGGGTGATACATAATGTGCAATGACATTTCCTGAGATTTCTCCCTGGGACCCGGGCTTTAGAGAGGTGAAAGGTCCCCTGGGGAAGATAGGGCATTTTCAGTTATCCTACTGTGTGAATTAACACGCATGTTAAAGCTAAATTTCCCATCGCATTTCCTGGATTTGTTTTACAGAGATTGAATTCACTTCAGGAGCTCCAACTTCTTGAAATCATGTGCAATTATTTCCAGGAGCAAACCAAGGACTCTGTCCGGCAGATTATTTTCTCATCCCTTTTCAGCCCCCAAGGGAACAAAGCTGATGACAGCCGAATGAGCCTGCTGGGAAAACTGGTCTCTATGGCAGTGGCCGTGTGTCGGATCCCCGTGTTGGAGTGTGCGGCCTCCTGGCTCCAGGTACTTCTCTAGAAATAGACTTTTGAGAGTCTCTGAAGAGGAGCTTAGTGACAGTTGTTTTCATTTAACTGTATTTCTGGAGAGGCCTTTTCCACCTTACCTCCTTGATATCACTACCCTATACGCTGACTTACATTGTTTACAGATAGTGCCCGGTCCTGAGAAAGTGTTTTCCCATGGGAAATGAATTAAAAAAAAGATTCCACCTTCAGGACAAGTGAAAAATCACTTTTCTTAGTTGAAAATGATAAGGTGGGAGTTTGGAAACAGCTATGCAAGCAGCCTCAGGGATAGGATTTTTTTAAAAAGATTATTATGTCAGTGTGGCAACAGTTGCTTGTTATCTTACAGTTAGGTCACTTAGCATGTGAATTGTTTTGTGTTGTTCCTTAACAAAACAAAATTGACCTTAACAAAGTTGATGATGATTCTTCTGATGGACACTGAGAGGAGAGTCTAATAAAGTGCTTTAAATATTAAAAAGAAAAAAATGTATATTTACAGTAGATTTTGTTAGACGGTATTCTGAAAGATTCCTGCTGTTCTGCTTTTTTGTTACTGAAAGTCTAATAAATTGATAATCCAGAGTAATTATTCACAATTTTGATAAATATCCTCAGTTAAGCTAACAGAATTTGCTATATTTAGTTACTGTGCATCTGCTTCATTCCTAACTGAAATCACTTGGGTTTTTTCTTCCAATTAAATTTTTTTTTGTAATCTTGTTTATCTTTAAAATTTGGCTAGCAAAAACAGATACTGTTCTTTGTAGCATACAAGCACATCTCAGTGGAATCTACCTTGTCATCAGTCTAATTTCTAGGGCATCTGAACTGATTGTGTGTATTTAACCTCAAGACAGATTACCTCTATCCCTTGATAACCTAGTAAAAGTCAAGTTTAACATCTTATAATTCATCATATAATTTTCCTTTAATCTCTTGTGATGCTCCTATGTTGGCACTTTGGCAAAATGAAAGCAGATATCAGTGATGCAAAAGGGCCTTAGCAGTTTGGGTCATGGTTTGACACAGTGGGGTGAGGGGCTGCAGCTGCCTGCTGAGAAAAGGTAGAGACAGCTGATTTGGTGGTGTGGGGGCATATTTCAGCCTGGATGGATGGTCTTGCCCGCTGTCTCTAGTTTCCCTGCAGGCCATGTTGGGGCCCAAGAACAGTAGCATAGTGAGCAGGTGTTGAATGTGGCAGTAGCTGCATGTTGGCATGAGTGGGAAGGAAAAAGGCAGGGGAGCATGGGGATGTAGTATTTGAAAGTATTACGGAGACCTGTAAGGGGATAGAACTGTAAAAAATTGAAAGTGCTGCTCTAAATGATGATAATCCATGGACTCTCCTAAATCTCTTCAGAGTGGTAGCAACTTTTCATTGTTACCTTTGGAGTCTCACCTGTAGGGTTATAAAAGTTGTCATTTTCTCACTTGGAATCAGAAATGATCTTTCCTAAGCCAACTTCAAAGCAAGGGATCAGCAGGTTTTTTATGTAAAGAGCAAGATGCTAAGTATTTTAGGCTTTGCAGGTCATAAAGTCTCTGCCACAGCCACTCAACTCTGCCCTTTTAGTGCAAGTGTTAAGCAAACATGAGCAGAATGTGTTTCAATAAAACTTTATTTAGAAAACAGGTGGCAGGTTGGATTTGGTTTGTGGGCTTTAGTTTGCCAATCCCTGTTTCTAAGTAAGCGGCTGACGTCTTTTTCCCCTCTTGAAAGTGTTTCTACCAGTTCAGGTGGTCTTTACCATATGTATATAGTTACAGTCTACTAGCTCATGATGCTTATAGTTACATGGACTGTGGCTTCTTTGCAGCGGACGCCGGTGGTCTACTGTGTGAGGTTAGCCAGGGCCCTCGTGGATGACTACTGCTGTTTGGTGCCAGGATCTGTTCAGACGCTGAAGCAGATATTCAGTGCCAGCCCCCGCTTCTGCTGCCAGTTCATTACTTCCGTCACTGCGCTTTATGACCTGTCATCAGGTAATCTTTAAACAGATGGTGGTGGTAAAGAAGCTGTGGCTGATTGCCAGTTTTATTTCCACTGAACACCCAGGTGAACTGTCCAGTGAATGCTTTGGCCTTTTTTCCTCTGAAATGTGTTTTATTTTAGGCTGATAGCTAAAGGAATGGGCCACCTGGACTTCTGGAATTTGCTGGCAGGGAAGCTTTCCTTAGTGATTTCTACTTGTCTGGCTCAGACAACTTGCAGAGTGAAGGTCTGGTGTTGAGATGTGGCCTTCTCCCCAGACAAGACTTGCTTTTTGTCCCTTGTTTTTTATTTTGAAGAACTTTAAAACTTCAGAAAAGTTACAAAAATACTACAACAAACATTCATATACCTCTCGTAGATTCACCAACTGTTAACATTGGCCATATACTTGCTCTCTCTCCCTGCCACCCTCTCTCTTTCCCTTCCCTTCTCTCCACATACTCTCACAAATATTTTCCTGAACTGCTGAGAGTTTGTCCCATATCTTGTGCTGAAGCGTGTATCTCCTCTGAACAAGATCATTCCCTTACAAAGCCATGATGCCATTATCACCTCCAAGAACTTAAGTATTGACAGAATATGCTTAAATTTAGAATAAGCCTAAATTAAGATTTCTGTGATTGTTTCAATGATGTCTTGTATAGCCGTTTTTCCCCCTTTGAGGGATCAGGAGAATTCATGATCCAATCAGGGATCATGCATTATATAATATTTTTCCTATCACCTTGTTCATTTTAAATGTTGTACAGTTCCCAGCATTTAAAAATCTCTTATGACATTGACATCTTTGAAGACCCCAGGCCTGTTGTTTTGCAGAATGTCCCTCAATTTAGACTCCTCTGATTGTTTCTTTATGAAAGACTCAAGTTAAACATGTTTAGCAACAATGTAACCGAGGTGGTGATGTGTCCTTATGCGCTAGGATGCATATATGTCAGTTCTGTTGTCCTTCCACATTTGTGTCTTGTGCTACCCACAGCGCAGCCCATGTGGCACCTGGGCAGGGGTTGTGGCCCTTGTTTTCTACATGGGGACATTACGGGCCTCACCCTGGTAGGCAGTTTTCTCTGAAGAGCCAGACTCAAAGCCTGCTTTTCTGTTTCAGGTTCTTCCTTCTCTGCCCTCGGCTCCTGTTGCTCAGAGGTGCTGATGGTCTCCTCATCCTAGTCTGATAGCTAAGCCATAGCTCAAGAGACTTCAACACTTTGCCGTTCTGTTCAGTCCATCTTTGGTCTCCTGCCACCAAACCTATTCTATTTGATTCTCCTTTTATTTGTAACTTTACTTTTCTTGGTGCTTGACTTTTTATTAGTTCTTTTGAGAAAGTTGGTGTGGATATAATGTGAACATTGTAGTGCATCTCACATCCATGCATGTGTACTTCCATCCCTTCTCTTTCGTAGCAATGTGCACAAGGACAGGAGACCAGGCATGTCAGCAGTGCCCTGCTGCTAGGCTGGAATTTTCCCTGGCACCCTCCTATAAAGACTTCCTAAGAGCTTCTAATAGCTGCGAACAGTATCAAGCCTTTTGTTTTCCAATAGGAAAGATTTAATTAAACTGATTTATTGCACCACAGTTGCCCTTTCAAGTCATCAGTAATTGCAGGCCAATGAGGACAGAAAGTGTCCTAAACATTAGGAATGGATTAACTAATGTGGAAAAGGAAATAATGTTCAGGGAGTACCACCAACATCCTAGAATGAATAGGAGACATGTTATTTTTCACTTCAGCCAGGTTGCCAGTCTGATTAAGTCAGTGAATTTTTTTTTAAACCATTTTATTGAGGCACAATGGACATACAAAGCTGTACATTTTTAATGTGTACAACCTGATTGATGGGTTTGGAGATATGGACAGCACCAAGCACACACTAGTGGTGGCGCTAGAGGATGGACCTGGAGCCTGCTGTCGGAATGGTGATTGGTGCTGCTCTTGATGCTTCTAGAACAGGAGAGCATTTCCAGGGAGCCTGTCTTCAGAACCACGAAACCAGAGGCTCATAACCAAACAACCTCCTCCTGCCCAAATGTTGCAGAGAACTTGAGTCTCTAAGTAGAAGCTCAGAGAAATGATTCAGTCACATGCACACTCTCCCAGGTACACACAGGACACATGTGCACACACTACTTCAGGCTCTTGGAGCCACCCCAGCCCAGATGTCCTGGGGGCCCCAGGAGAGGGGTGCTGAAGATGCAGGCATGAGACTGGCATTTCCCAAACACAAATATCTCAGGTATCCAGGGGCCAGGCACAGGGTCACCACCCACTGTGTGTTTTGCCAAATAAAGACCATATGCAACTACTGCCACCTCCTGTTGCTGTTGTTCCATAACAGAAGGTGGGGGCAGGGGCAGCAGAGTGGACATTCCTCAGGGAACAGGCCATTGTGTCCTGAGAAAGAGCAGCAGGGACCTGACACCACGCACATCTCACTCACCCCATGCTGTCCTACTTGTGCTCAGAGCAGACCTTAGCAGGCTGGAAGGGGATCTGTCATCCTTAGCTTTTCTATGAACTGAGGGGAGCAGCAACCTAAAGTTGGGAGGCTGGGGACCCATTCCCATGCGCACAGATAGCCTAAAGGCATTGCACGCCTGTCCCAGGGTGGGCAGAGTAACGTGGTAGTTCAGGCTGAGGCCACCTGGGGTCAGATCTGGGCCTACCTCACGCCCATAGTGAGTCCCCGGCAAATTAACATCAGTATGCCTAGGTTTCCTTATCCTTTACACAGTAGATGGGTTGTTTGGGCAGACAATGAGTTAATCTGTGTAAAGGACTTAGACTGGTGCCTGGCACATAGTAAACCCAGAATAAATGTCAGTATTTATTTTTATTATTGTTCTCTGTCTAGGCCATAGAATGTGCCCGTCTCAGGGATCCCTGAAGGTTAGGTTTTGCTTAGACAAAGGTTCCAGATTTGGGGCTGGAATGGCTCTTGGCAGTAGACAGATCCCTGGCTGGACTCAGCTGCTCCTTGGAGGAGGACACCATCACCATCATGTACCACAGGGGAGACACCACAGGGATGAAACCCACTCACATGGGAAGAGGTGAAGCATGGTGGTCATTGTGGACATAAAAAGTGTAGAATTTATTTCAATTGACAGATAAGATGAACTTCTTTGAAAGGCATAATGGAGTTCTAGGGAAATGTTGATTTAACAAATATTTCTTGAGCCCTACCTTGGTCAGACAGTCCTGCACTGGGGATAAACACAGAATAAGACAAGAGCCCCAACCCTAGGGAACATTCTAGAAAAGGAGATGGCAAATAGGTGAGCAAAGATGTACATCGACTGAACGTCAGGCAGTGTGTGCTGTGAGCTCAGGGGTCTACCTCCCTCCATCCACTTTTGGCATCTGCCACTGGGGCCAAAAGCCCTTCTGACTTAACATGTCTTCGTTTACAGATGATCTCATCCCACCTTTGGACTTGCTTGAAATGACTGTCAACTGGATTTTTGAGGACCCAAGGTTGATTCTCATCACTTTTTTAAATACTCCAATTGCCGCCAATCTCCCAATAGGATTTTTAGAGCTCACCCCACTCACTGGATTGATCCGCTGGTGTGTGAAGGCCCCCCTGGCTTATAAAAGGAAGAAGAAGCCCTCCTTGTCCAATGGTCACGTCACTGCCAAAGTTATAAAGGACTCGGGAGGGATGGACAGAGACTCACACCTCTTGTTCTCAAAACTCCATCTCAGCGTCCTGCAGGTTCTCATGATGCTCCAGGTGCATTTGACCGAGAAGAATCTCTATGGGCGCCTGGGGCTGATCCTGTTTGACCACATGGTCCCACTGGTGGAGGAGATCAACAGATTGGCAGATGAACTGAACCCCCTCAACGCCTCCCAGGAGATCGAGCTCGCTCTGGACCGGCTCGCTCAGGCTTTGCAGGTGGCCATGTCCTCTGGAGCCCTGCTGTGCACTAGAGGTGGGTGATACGCTGCCCAGCCTTCCTGGAGGCAGGGACACCACCACCCATTGGAAAGAAAATCAGGGCTCCTGGACAGAACTGTTTTCTGCTTCTTCCAGGCCTCCCTTTCTCCTGGTGAACACAGAGGGGTAGAGGGGTGGAAGTCACAGAACATATCCAGGTAGAACACTGACCCTACTCTGTATGTCTCCTGGCTGTTTCCCCCAGGACTGGGGTCTCCTTGAGAGTGTGGATAAGAGCTTAATATCTTTCCTCTTAGGGAATCTTTTCTCTTTTTGCAGTCCTTTCTTATTGAGGCATAATTTACATACAATAAAACCTATAGGTTTTAATGTATAAAACATACCCATTACCTGTTTTGAGGGTTCTTTAATTCTGCGTTTCAGTGCTTGAGCTCTTCCAGGAGAATGATCTGGTGCTGAAGACACACTTGTCTGTGTGTTTTCCTGTTGGCTCACAGAAGTTGGCTGTGGTCCCAAGTGGTGTGACTGCTGGTAATGGGTTCCTCTTCTCTCACTCTTGCACCACCTTGGGTGTTTGATCCAGTCAAGTGCTACCTCGGAGCACTTTGATGAATTGCCAATAGAGCTGCCCCTTTCCTAAGTGATGTTTTCTACTTGGGACCTAGTTTGCTAAAGCAAAAGTTGAAGGTAAAGAGTACACAGTTTCTAAATGATGCTAGGAAAATGTAGTCTAAGGTACTAATTATTACCTTGCTAGCATTCTTGCAAAAAGAATTTCCCCTTGTTGTCTCCAGAGTGTTCCTTAATATGTGTCTCCTTAATTTCAGATGACCTGAGAACCCTGTGCTCCAGGCTGCCCCATAATAAGTAAGTGCCTCTCAACAATTCTGCCTCAGCTGGGATGAGGGTGGGGTTTGAGGCAGGGTGCACCCCTTGTCCTGGCTTGGGAAGAGCTGGTCTGCAGGACCAGAGCTTCAGGACCAGAGCTTCAGATATGATAGCATAGCCCACAAGAGAGGAAGCCCAAGTAGAGAGTAAACAGAGATGAAAACATCAGTCATCTTGCTGGGGGTCAAGAACTCAGAGGTTAGTAACTGCTGGGGGTTAGTAACTCAGTGTCATTACTGCTGGCTAAATCAGCCTGCATGGGGTACATGGTGACACTGGTCGTGTGCACTGTTGTTGACATTGTGAGTTACACAGCCCCGTGGGAAGTACTGCAGAGCCACAGCCTGTCCATCAGGCGCTGTTGTCAGACAGCACCACCGGTCGGTTTCTGAGCACGGTTCTGTCTGGTTTTCTATGACGCTTGGGTGGTCTCCTCGCCTGTTTCAGCCTTGGCTTCCCGGCTGTGAAGTGGGAGTGATCGTTTGCCTGCATCTTAGGGTTGTAGTGAAGATTAAATAAGATGTTTGTAAATTTCGTAGCCTAGTCCCTGGCACATGGAATCTCTCCAGAAATGGTGGTTATTGTCTCAATTTGGGGGAAGCAGTGGTAATAGTGGTGAAAAGCAGGAACTGTGATCACACGGCCTCTGGCAAGAATTCCAGCCTGCCTTCTTCCTAAATATGACCTTGGACAGGTTCCTTAACTCCCGCTGCCTGTTTTCTCCATAGAATCAGAAAAATAATAGTACCTGCCTTCTGTCCCCCTGCCTCCCTGCCCTCCCCCGCCACCCTGCTCCTGCTATAGGATTTTCATGAGAATTAAATGAGTAAAAACACAGAAAGCAAGAAGCAGACTGATAGGCAAAATTTGAGGCCTGAGGATCGGCCAGATGCTAATTCTCGTGCTGACAGAGCAGCTGTGGCTAGAGGACCAGTGTCCTTGTGCTGTGGCTGGGGGACTCCCAGTCACGCTCTGCAGGGGAGGGGCAGCTTCAGGCAGGGTCTGGGAGAGCTGAACAGGTGGGGAACAGGGGCTCCTGATGGAACAAAATGGTCCTGCCTGAGATACTGCATCAACAGAATGGACGGTTTGTCCAGAACACCACTCTGCCCTTAGAAGCCCACACTATTCCTTTTTTCTTTTTTCTGGGCTCCAAGAAAATTCCCTGGCATCTGAGGACATTGTTAGTATAAGCCGGTTCCTTTTTCCTTCTCTTGTAATAATCCTTTGTGATATTTCTTCTTTGTGCACAGCTGTATTTAATGTGTAATTTTTCAGGGCACTGAAATAACAATAGGGTATAAATCTTTTATCTGCTTAGTGTTACAACTCAGGGTCCCTGTTGGAATCCTCGGACTTCTGAACAACCCTCACTGGGTCCCGCCCTCCAGGAACCTGTGATTGCATGTCCTGACTCTCATGTCCCTGGAAGCACCTCCCAGGGGCCACCTGGCCCTGATGTGGGGAAAGAGGACACACAGTCACTCGGATCCTTCTTTGATGACTGATTGTCCCTTTTGTGTTGTCTTTCCAACTAGACTGGAAGCTTCTTGCACAGGTTCCAACAAACAGGGCCTAAATTTTGCCTCTTAGTACTCCCTTCTCAGATATATTTGTTTGCTTATGACTCACCCAGAGTCATAAAAAAGCAATAACATAGATGAAAAGGGGCTCAAAAGAGTGTCAGGCCACTAAAAGGCACCAGCTCTCTTCATGCCCTCAGTTTGCAGCCTGACCCCTTCCCGTGGGCTCTGGGCAGACAGACTTTGTACTTGGAGTTGAGTAGGGGGAGGGTGTCAGTCTGCAAGAGACCAGCCCTGCTCTCAGAGCTCCAGGCAGCAGCCCAGAAGCAGTCAGGGTCCACGCAAGTGGCCTGGGGGCTGTCACGGGCCTGCAGGCAGCGTGCAGGGGAGGTGCAGGTGGCATCAGGGGACCAAGAGGTGAATGACAGGCATGAGTAGGGCCTGGTAGGTGGATTTAGTGGCAGACTTCTCAGATACCAGACAGGTGGAACCATGGCACCATGGGAGGCTAGGAGAGTGGAAGGCGCCTGCCTGTCCATCCATCTGTCTACAGCAGAGGCTGGCAGCAGGGGTAGAGGCCAGGCTGGGAGGAGGCCTCCATCCTCCCAGAGAACCTTCTCTGACTAGGGATACAACCAGGGGTTGGTCATTTCAGGCCAACCACAGGATGCAGGTGGGTTGAGGCCTGGGAAAGCAGAGGTGGCGAGGAAGTTAGGGACCTCTGCCTATTATGCTGTGGGGGGAGTGGGGTTAGAGAGGGCAAGGGGTTCAGGAGGAACCAGCATCGGAAAGGGAAGTCAGGAGGGAAGAGGATTTCTGGAGGTGGGGCTATTTACATCACAGAACAGACAGAACCAGGCTGGAGAACCTGAGTGGCACCTGGGCCTGGGGGCAAGCCCCGGGTGGAGAGAAGAGACCTGGGGAAGGAACAGTGGGTATATGCTTGCTTGCTGGGAGCCCTTGTGTGGTGAGTGGGGACCTACCGCCCAGAGTTAAGGAGCAGTGAGCAGGGGAGTCTGCAGCTCCTCGGGGGGGCAGAGGGGTGTTTGGAGGAGTGGGCCCCTGAGGTGGGTGAGGGCTGGGCCCAGATCTGGGCCATCTCAGGGTGGGGCCCATATGAGTCTCGGGTCAGGCTTGCCTGAAAGGGCAGCTTCCCTGGGGCCCTGCTTGGTACTTGTTTCGGACCATCACTGAGGAAACTAGCCCACTGTCCTGGTCACCGCATGGCCTCTGTCAGCTTCAGCTGCATACAGAGCTGGGACCTCCAGGCCCCATGCTGACCACTCTCCTGCCACCTCCCTCCTCGGCCCCTGTGGCTTCCTCATTCCCTCCCTGCCTCCCCACCATCCCCTGCAGGATCCTGGCTTTCCCCACTGTTGGTCCCTCCTTTCTCCTCTGTCCAGGGCCCAGTCTAAATCCTGCCACCTCCATGTCACCTCGTTCTCCCCCAGCCACAGGTCACCATCTCCTCTCTGTGTTCACAGTCTAGTCTCCCCATCTGGAAACCCACAGGTCCTGTGCCTGCTTCTGGTGCCTCTCCCAGCACATGTGTGGTCAGCCACCGTGTGCAGGCATCCTGTCCTCTCTCCCCTGTGGGACCAAGTCCAGATGTAGGCAGCTGAGCGTGGTCACTGGATCCTCGCGTCCTAACCCTTCTGCTTATCTTTACAGCCTGCTCCAGCTGGTGATCTCGGGCCCAGTGCAGCAGTCGCCACACGCAGCACTCCCCCCTGGGTTCTACCCTCACATCCACACGCCCCCGCTAGGCTACGGGGCTGTGCCAGCTCACCCTGCCGCCCACCCTGCGCTGCCCACACACCCCGGACATACCTTCATCTCAGGCATGACGTTTCCATTCAGGCCCATCCGCTAGGCCGGCCCCTATGCACCCTGAGTGGCAGCATGCCTTGTGCGCCTGGGTTGGAGGAAGCCTTGCAGAGAAAGGGAGACTGGCCCCATAGGTGAGGGCCTTTGGGAGGCAGCAGGCAGCCCCTCCTCACTGGCAGAACCTTCTTGGTGCAGAAGTTGGGCCTTGCAGGCTAGGTACCTCCTGCGCAGTCACGGTCTTAGGAGTCCCGCTTGGATGGTGGAAGGAAGAGCATCCGGGGCTCTGAGTGATGCCAGGCCCGTGCACCTGGGGCATCGTGTGTCACTGCAGACAGCACCCCAGGCCTGTGCCCAGAGCCTTGTGAGAAGCAGCATTTGCCAGTCCCCTTGTCTGGCTTCTTTCTCGTGACTGTGATGTGTCCCTGCCAGCAAACAGGCTGCTTTGATGGCTCCGTGAGCTCCAAGCTGAGGCGGTGATGCAGGCCTACACACAACACTTGGCCCGTTCCAGGAATCCTGTGCGGTGGCCCCACCACCACCACTGAGAAGAGGAACCTCTCTCTTTTATTGGGGTCTCTAAATTTTCCTTTCATATTTTCAAATAAAGTTTTTCTAAACAATTTTATAGACTTTATGGAATGTATTTTTTAAAAGTACTCAGTGTGAGCTGCAGAGGTTCCCCCCTCTCAGTCTGCAGTGATTGGGGGAAGACTGACAGCAGTTTTAGCCTCTCACCAGCACCCTGCCTTGTGCAGGGCTTCCTACTGGCACATTGGCACTCACGGTCTGTTCGCTTCACGTGCTGAATAGCCTTAGGGGTTTTGCTTCCAGTACATGATTGGGGGGTGTCTGCTTTGTGTTCTCATTGATCAGTTATGGGAGGAAGTAGCTTTGGAAACTGAGACACCCAGCTCCTGTAGGCTGAAAGTGAGGCCTGAGAGCTGGCTACAGTAAACAGTGAGCAGGAGAGGACCAAGATTTAGCTTAAAGGATGATACTTAGCCATGTGGTTAGTTCACCCTTCTATTCCAGACCAAACCAGATCACCTACTAAATTCCAAATGCACACGCTCATGTGCACGTCTGTATATGTTGTGTGTGTGTGTGTGTGGACTGGCGTTCCAGGCACCCCTCGAGATAAGGAGTGTGAGCTGATGCAATTGCACTGTAAGGGCTGACCGTGGTCAGCCAGGACCATGAGCAGGTGTGGTTTCCCAGGGACACGAGCCCCAGGCTTTCCTAGCCGCTGGGGTGCTCATCCACGGTTCCACGGCCATAGCTGGTAAGTGGGAACCAGTCCACAAGTGAAGCTTCTTGGGATCTGTTTTTAAATTGCCTCAGAGAGCTGTGAACTGGGAAGGACATTTCCTCTTGAGTTTGATTTCATTATCCCATTGACTCTGTTCCCTGTTTATTTGCATACCTGCTGATGTCAGATCAGGAACTGAAATGTCTACTTCTAGCTCCTTTGGTGAAACATGTCCATGAATCTGAAGAGATCAGCACTTGGCTGGTTGTTGGTATTTAATCCTGGCACCAAGTGTTTCTGAAAATAATGGAAAAGAAATGTTCACTTTGCTTTGTAGTTAGGGAAGGTCTCTGAGCCTGGCTCTGTCTCAGAAGGCGGCCTCCACCAAACATTTCCAGGTGCTAGACATGTCTCAGCTCCTCTCAGACTCAAGGTGGTTTTTGAAAATAAATAAATAAATAAATAAGTAAATAAAGGAAAAATGTAGGAAATAGAGCCACTTGAGCCACAAACTTCCTTCAGTTGTATTTCTAATATGTGAGCAATTAAGTCAACCTATTAAAAATATAGATAGAGGTGGACTGTTCACACCACCAATTCTTGCCTTTTTCTTATTAATAATGAAAGTGATACCTCCTGTTTAACAATTATGTGCCAAGCACTTGCTCAGAGTTTTATGTACATTAAAAGTTGGTATATGAGATGTTTGCAATGTATAAAACAAAATACATTTTTAAAGAATATATTAAAAACTGCAGATTAGTCAAGACATTGCAAAGAAAATGGATGAAAGACACATACAATTCAGAGAAAATACAAATGACCAGTAAATATGAAGATACTTATTTCCTTCTATGGCTAAAACTGGTACCCGGGAAAATGTAAGCTAAAATGAGGTGCCATTTTTTCACTTACCCATCAGACTGACAAAATAGAATGTGTAGCTGAAGGTGTGAGGTGACAATCACCCTGTTTGTGGTAGATGATTGGTTTAGCCACTGGAGAAATTTACAAATAAAATGACCCTGGGACCTAGCAATTCCAGAAAAAAGCCTGTTCACATGGCAGTGTGGTTTTTTAGGTAACAGGGTTATTGAGAGAATTCACATACCCCATTCACTCACTTTAAGTGTGTGTACAATTCCATAGTTTTCTGTATACTCAGAGTCTTCCAGCCATCACCACTGTCTACTTTAGAACATTTTATCTTCCCCAAAAGGAACCCTATGCCCATTAGCAGTCACTCTCCCTCTGCTCCCAGCCCCTAGCAATCAATCTACTTCCTGTCTCTATGGATTTACCTTTTCTGGACAGTTCACATAAATGGAATCATATGGGATGTGGTGTTTTGTGACTGGCTTATTCCACTTAGCACAGTGTGTTCAAGGTTCATCCATGTTGTAGCCTGTGCAAATACTTACTACCTTCTATGGCCAAATGATATCTCAGTATATGGTTGTACTGGATTTGTTTTATCCATTCATTAGTTGGTAGACACTTGAACCCTTTGGCTCTTAGGAATATTGCTGTCATGAACATCTGTGTACAGGGTTTTGTGTGGACATGTTTCTGATTCTCTTGGAGACACACACACACACACACGTATCAAAATGCTGGGTACTGTTTTTTAATGAGGAAAATTAAAAAACAGCTTGAATAGTCATCAACAGAGGACTGGCCAACCAGGAAATGTAAGCAGACATCCCTAGGGACCAGGCAGGTGGTGTCAATGGGTGACACTTCCAGAATTAGACTCCAGGGGACTGGAGATTGCACTAGACTGAAGAAGACCTAAAGCTGACCTTTGCTATACCTGGGCCCTTGGGCCAAGGTGGTGTTGCCAGTATGTGTGAGTTGGAAGAGAAGATGGAAATAGACTTTTCTATGCTATATTTTAATTTATGAAACCATTTGGAAACGACTCTCTGGTGTTAGAAGTCAAGACAGTGGTAGAGGGTGGGTAGTGACTAGGAAAGTCCTTGCAGGGGCTGTCCCATGGGCATACGCAGTCCATCAGCTCAGCAGGTCGTACACAGGGGTGCTCTTCTCCTTATGCTGCTACACTTCAATACAAAGTGCCTCCACCACAGAAACCCCCACACTACTGCCCAAGCTGACCTTAGCATGTTCACTAGCCAGATTCAACTCAGGCTTTCTGATTTTACCCCTTGGGCTGCTGATGTGGAAAGATCCTTAGAAGTATTGCTAAATGAAAACTTGCATTACAAAGAGGGTAATACTACGTGTGTACAAAACCAATCAACCAGCCCAGACAAGATGATCCTACAGTTTCCCACAGGTACGTGGATATGTATGTATGTGTGTTTAAAAATGATGTACACCATGAAAGACCTATACCCTGAAAACTACAAGACACTCTTAACAGAAATTAAGGAGGACACTAGCAAATGGAAACTCATCCCATGCTCCTGGCTAGGAAGAATTAATATAGTCAAAATGGCCATCCTGCCCTAAGCAATATACAGATTTGATGCAATCCCTATCAAATTACCAACAACATTCTTCAACGAACTGGAAAAAATAGTTCAAAAATTCATATGGAAATACCAAAGACCTCGAATAGCCAAAGCAATCTTGAGAAGGAAGAATAAAGTGGGGGGGATCTCGCTCCCCAACTTCAAGCTCTACTATAAAGCCACAGTAATCAAGACAATTTGGTACTGGCACAAGAATAGAGCCACAGATCAGTGGAACAGAATAGAGATTCCAGATACTAACCCAAACATATATGGTCAATTAATACATGATAAAGGAGCCATGGACATTCAATGGGGAAATGACAGTCTCTTCAACAGATGGTGCTGGCAAAACTGGACAGCTACATGTAAGAGAATGAAACTGGATCACTGTCTAACCCCATACATAAAAGTAAATTCAAAATGGATCAAAGACCTGAATGTAAGTCATGAAACCATAAAACTCTTAGAAAAAAACATAGGCAAAAATCTCTTAGACATAAACATGAGTGACTTCTTCATGCACATATCTCCCCGGGCAAGGGAAACAAAAGCAAAAATGAACAAGTGGGACTATATCAAGCTGAAAAGCTTCTGACAGCAGAGGATACCATCAATAGAACAAAAAGGTACCCTACAGTATGGGAGAATATATTCATAAATGACAGACCGATAAAGGGTTGACATCCAAAATATATAAAGAGCTCATGCACCTCAACAAACAAAAAGCAAATAATCCAATTAAAAAA